CGCTAGTAGGTTGGAGGCCATCGCCATTAGGTTGGAGGCCATCGCTATTGGGTTGGAGGCCATCGCTGGTAGGTTGGAGGCCATCGCTAGTGGGTTGGAGGCTATCCCTATTAAGTTGGAGGCCACCGCTAGCAGGTTGGAGGTCATCGCTAGTAGGTTGGAGGCCATCGGTATTGGGTTGGAGGCCATCGCTAGTAGGTTGGAGGCCATCGCTAGTAGGTTGGAGGCCATCGCTAGAATGATGGAGGCCATGGCTCCTAGGATCTCCTGGGTTTATTTCAGCATGGTCAAATGATTTCGACATGTTCCGATAGAACGTGTTTCCCATGCAACTGTGCCTTGGAGAAGCTGCAAAAGCACAGGCTCTTGGCTCCTTAGGCGATCGGAGTGATCTCGCTTAAGATTGACCCGTCAAAGCTTGTTGTGGTTTAGGAGAGGGCAGTGTTCTCCTCTGTGAATTACATGCAAGCACTGGCTTTCAATACTTGACCCTGCCGCCTGCCGGACCAAATTTAACTTCGTAGACCAAGGACATCTCCAAACTTGGCCCTCTATCAGTGTACATGGCTTTACAGGGTTTTGGAATCCCAGCACGGTCATTGGAAGGGTATCGGTTGGTTGTCCCCTATTGGTTTGGCAGGTGTCATGCAGGTCTTGTGTCCCCAATATTCCTCCCTTTACGAAACGTTGTGCACATAGTTTGGTCGGCAGCTAAACAGTTTGGTGGATAAACAACAATTTAGATAACTCAGAAAGGATATACTTTCAGGCGAGCGAAGCTGATATCCAACTTGGGCTGTGACTTCAGCAACGCTACTCCAGACCACATCCCTGCGTCAACATGAACAAAGCTCTTCCAACTCCAACTGAACAAACTTGTCAAAAAGCAAGGAGTCAGGTGCAGGTTCGTTCAATGTCTCTCACTGGCCTTGGGCTAGTGATGCTTCCAACACCTCCTGTCCCGCCACCTTACAGATTGGACTCTCAAGAGTTGAATTCATTTCAATGCTTTGGCCACGGCCATTCCAGCCATTTCCAACAATGTAACGTGCCAATATGTGGCAATGGTAAATCTCCTTTTGGCTGCCGAGCGGGCAGGGGGTCTGCAAGTTGCAAACGACAAACCTCCTACCTCTTTCTGTGTACAGTGTACGACTGTGTACCGTGTACGACTGTGTACAGTGTACAGGTTCATCCGTAACAAAGGAGGAGACGGCGGCGCCTTTCAGATCAGAATACACCAAGTCTCCAAGAGCATTTAAAAATGGTGAGGCGCCCATGGCATTGAGCGTGCTCCCTGCTCAAAGCCCTATCGGTCCAGGAAGGGGGGAAAGGTGAATGTACTGTCGACCAGTGCCTGAACGTTTTTCAGTGAGCAGCTGCAACCTCTTCAAGGTGCGCCGGTCACTGGAATTGCTAGCTAGCCTAGCTAGCGGCTAGCCAAGGCTGAGGCTGTCGAGATGTGGAGGCTGCTCACAAGCTCTGTGCAGCACTTCTTATCGTATCCTTCACTAAAAAACAAAAAAAGATGCAGAATTCTTGGTCTGCTCAGGACCTCAGGAGTCTCTAATCTCAGCCTAACTTGCGCATTGGCGGTGGAAGTTGAAGCTCCAATGGTGGCATCATTATGATGACACACTCACTCTCCGCTTTGGACGTAAACCATCTCCATTTAAGCCATGACCTTGGGTGAGCTCTGCTGCATGACGGTGCGTGGAAGTCCAAAAGAGCGTCATTTGTTCGTAGTTATCGGTCCCTCCTTCGCCATTTCACAAGAGGCTCACAGACTGCTTCACAATACAAGCCGCTGAAAGTTGCAGCTTAGGAGCCAGCGACTTCGTCGCGAATCTTCTCTATCCGAGGTGAAGACAGGCTAGATCGGCCAGAATGTCGCTGAGGTCGCTCAAGTCTGGACTCATATGACTCAGCGGTCGCAGATTCCTGTTTCGATTGTCTTGGCGATTTCCTTGGTGACACTGGACCAGAAGAGGGCCGCTGCACATCCTCAGCCTCGACACCCCACCTAAGCCAGATTGCACATGACGTGCTGAGACAAGGAAAAGAACTCAGGGCATTGGTAGATTGCTAGGTCATTCTGCGGCCATTCTTGATAAACTCATTCTCAATGGTCGGAAAACCTCTCTAGAAGCACTCAGGCCTTGCCACAGCCCTTTCACCACCATGTAATGCAATTTCGGTCCGGGCTGCTGGTTCTGCGCGTTTTGCCAATTCTCCTCATCAACTCCAGATGACGGCCAATGGTGGCTTATGAACCTTGGCTGGACAAGTTGCCTAGGAAAGATATTTTAAACAACGGTGATGTTTGGGCCCTTGAAAAGGTACCTAAGGATCCCAGATATGCCCAAATCATATAATTTATACCTTAATGTGTTGTCTTTCTCTTCTCTAAGGAATCTCTGAGGCCTTTGGACTTGGCCTAAGACCTGCTCGAAGAACCTAAGAATCTTACTGCCACTACTTGGCTTTGGCACGCTTTGCCACTTTGGCGAAACTTTAGGGCCTCCTCTGATTGACCCGTCTCACGCTCTAATCCCTACCAGAGTGCCTAAGCAAAAGAGTTTCATTTTGAGAAAAAAGAGTCTGTACTCAGCTGGCAGCATAACACACCACAAACAGGCTAACTCTTGCCATGTCATGTGGCTTTGTCACTTCGTTGTCCACATACTCTTGAATTTTTTGAAGCTGAATTTCCAGCTCCTGATGGATTCCATTTCGCATCTGCCTGGAATGAGAGGTGAGAAGCAACACCTATTTCGCATCTGCTCGTGTTCCAAGTTCCGTACGACAGATCCCGATGTCGGACATCGACATGAATGAACCGGCGCATCGCTGGGGCCCCACCTCATAGCGAAGACATGAGCGTTAAACTCCGTGCCCGCGTCCACTGGCTGGTGACTCTCCTTGATGGCCGCCATGCCCTGACCGAGTCAGCGGCCATGGGGGAGTCATCCCTGTGCGTAAAGTCATCCCTGCACCTAGTAAGACCTACTAGGCAAGCTTAGGGCTTGGGTATCAAAACATGTATCATTATGTATCAATGTATCAATGGCAAACGACTCATGGATTCATCTCGAGAGTCGCGACTCTCCTTGATACACTACCTCAACAACCTGACGGTCAATATCTGATATCTGCTTTTGGGACAACTACATATATAATGTCAATCAAATTATGCCCCAGCCTGTAGATGCTTCTTGAAGTTGGAGACATTTGACGTTTTCTTCGCGAAGCTGGCAAATCGCAGCGAGACATGTTTGCATCCAGCGTCAGGCCGCACATGCTTGAACATAATGTCAAAACAAGAATTAATGTCACACCATGTCACACCTGCTGCTGGAGGTGAGTTTCCTTATCAAATAAGTCTTTGCGTCCAAGAGCGAGGGCTTGCGCACCTGGCAGTGATCCAAAATGAGCTGACAAATTGGTGCCAATGAAGAGCGTGTGAGTGGGGTGGTGAGACCGCCCCTTCTGTAGCCACTTGAAAATGCGAATTGCAGCTGCTATGCAGCTTTCCTTGAGCTTACTTTGTTACCTTAAATGAGTTTCTTATTCTCTTTGGACATTTAGATATGTTCCTTTCACTTGCTCTTTTGGCGCAAGCTCAGCTCTTCAGTTGGTCCACAGTGTCGAGCCTCACCCCTCACCGAGCTGATGATGTTCTCTTGGGCATCGGTCAAATGGTCGCGAATTCGAAGCCAAATATCCTGGACCTGCGGCGAAGCGATTGAAGCTCAGAACAAACCTTCACTCCTTCAACTAAATCAAATACACATATGTCGTCATCTCCCCCGATCTGGCTCTCCTCTCCCGTCAACATCCTGCAATATCTGTGAGGATAATATATATATACTGTATGTATATATATATATATATGCAACAAACACCTGGAACGTGCAGAGTATGCCTGCAGCTTCACCATCATCATCTGGCGCTTTAGATCGTTAGTTTCGGACTTGTGAATACAGTTCACAAGCTCCTGCAGTGTGTGTGTGTGTGGGTGTTTGTGTGTGTGTCAGGGTGAGGAACAAGGGCGTCAAATAGTATGTGATTTGAAGGAATGAGCATTGCAACGAGCCTCTGCCCACAAGCAACTGAAGGAACCTCACACTATACTATAGACTCTAAATGACTCTATACCGTCTCCTCATAGGTCAAATCTCCCGAGCGGTCCACATCCATGAGGTCAAATAGGCAAATCAGATCTGTCTCATCAATCTCAAGAAGGAGCAAGGTCTTCCTGAAGTCCTGCCAACTGGAGTCCCTGCAGTCCCTGGAGTCTTTCAGCTTTCCGATTGGATCAAATGTTGGGCACTCGGTTCGTCTCGGTTCGCTCGTTGGTACCGCTCGTTGCTTCCGGCCTCATTAGTAGCATAAGCCTCCATGAGTTCTTCCAGCGTCAAAACTCCTAGGTCGAAACCATGGCAGGCTCCATCGGCAATCCCATCTACGCAATCCGATTCATCCGATTCCCGAGTGGATTCCCGGAGAGTGGCGCCGACGGAAATCCTTTGATTAAAAAAGATCCCTTTGATTCAAACTTGACATGGAAAAATGTTGTTCCAGTGATCTTCTTGGGGGTCCTCTTTTTGGAGCACTTTTTTGAGACCTGAAAAGAAGGACGTTCTGAAAACCGTCGCCCAGGCTCCATCTTTGTCCACATCAATGCGCTGACACATCTCAAGCAACCGGTTCTCTGCTTCACGGCGTTTTTTGATCCTGGGAAATGAACCGCTGCTTGAGAACCGATTCTTTGCTTCCAGGGAAGAAAAATTGTCACAAGGGAAAGGAGAATGAGAAGCAGTGCCAACCAGCGTTTGATCACATGAAATCTACAGTACCGCTTGGAAGCAACATAAAGCAACATGAATAATATGACAAAGACTTCCTGTTGAGTCTGATAAACTGAGCTTGCCGCTGTTCAGACAGGTTTTGCCTTTGCTCCTCCTCATGTGCTTGGCGCGCCCGCTCGACTATCACAGCCTGGGTCAAAAGACTTCAAAGGTTGCAAGGAGACAAAGAGAAGAAGTGTATCAGCAATGTCCACATGTGTCCACCATATGTATCCTATCAGCAACCTCTGATTCATGCAAAGCGTCCAAGACCAAGTTCGCAAAACCAAGCTGGACGGTCAACAAGGAGCCTGACTGGCCGAAACACTGAGAAAACAGTGATACTTTCTCAAATCTGCACAAACCAGTGAATGTAAAGCCACTGATACTGTGCTTGCAAAAAGTTTACAATTTGGCGATAGATCTGCTTGGATCACAATAGATGAGCATGGTCAAAATATGGTGCTCAACGTGCTGAGCAACAAGAGCAAAATCTGACAGTGATTGCATCCTAGACACCTCCAAAAATAATGAGGGAGAGTGGATTTCTCTGGATCATGGGGACTGCACAGTCACCCCAGCTGTCACCAGCCATGAGAGTCTGGAAGAACATCAACATCACCATGAAGACGGAATCAAATGCCTCGAGCCCGTCTTCAGCAGTGCTTCGCAGCCCGTCTAGCAGTGCTTCTTCTTTTGGGGAACAGGTTGGCTGCTAGATGCAGCAAGCTGGAACAGGCTGTCAGCCACAAGGGTTCTTCAACAAAGCTTCTTCAATATCTTTCAAAGACAGACATATGCCTCTGCACAGATTGGTTTGTCTGCATGTACATCTTGGGCTGTGTCGTGCCTTGGGCGCGGTGGAACGCATAGCAGTGGATTTGACCTTTCTTCTTGTACTGAAAGGATCTGAAAGGGAGAAGGGACCTCTCAAATCTGTTGCAGAAATCATAAAGCTTACGGCCATGGCACAAAAGCTCCACCGCAAGGACAGCCCATACGGCCAGGAGGAGCATCACCATTATAAGCCTCACTTTGCATGAAGGCTCTGGCACAATGTAGAACAACATGTTACGTATATAAAAGCCCTCAAAGCAAAGAATATGAACATTCAACTGTTTCCTGTGTTACTTGGTCTTGGCTATCACTGGAAATCTGCACATTGCCATCAGCTGCAACTTGGATGTGGATTGACTTCACCAAGCGACCCCCAAAACACCGTGGTCAGCGCACTGATCACGCCATTCATCATAGCCCTCAACTCGGGGGACATGTGCACGATCCTTGCACAAAAGAGTGTCTCACAAGTACCACTCTAGGAATGGAGCCTGGTCAACAAACAATTTCACCAATGTCCACGGTTTGGAAGAGGGCAAATTCACTTTCTTTCATGATTTGTTGAGTTGTTGTCAAATCGCTCACGTTCATTCTTTCAGGCTAGACTGCTATCGTGTTGTCTTGCGGACAGTCCTGGCTGCTCGCGCCAGCCGCGCAATGCGGAAGAGTCGCAGGAGTTGCACTTCCTGCAGACCTGCCTGGGTGGTTGCGATGTCATGCAGTGTTCAGTTACGATATCATGTCATAGCTCCCTTATGCTTCCTTTCTTCATGTCGTTTGTTTCACCAAATTCATGTTTCGACTTGCAGGTGTCACGTCGATGGGGCAAACTCGTCAATTGGATACGCCCTTCGGGATTCACTTGGCCAAGATGCGGTCGTCACTATAGCTGACACGAGCATGTCCACCCAAGCCATTAACACAATGCACAGGTCAAAGAGAGTCCAGTGATCCCGACATACACGTGCCCTGTAAACAAACAAAGTTGCCTCGGCTCGACCCAGCCGCCAAAAAGTACAAATATATAAAACACATTGTGCCAACTATTGTGCCAATCAATCATCATCGTGTTCGACAAAAGTGGCGGCCTTGTTTCTTCACAAAAACGTTTCACAGAGTCGCACCCTAAGGCCGAAGGGGTGGTCTGAGGCCCTTAGGCGCCTTCTTCATAAGGCCCTCATAGGTAAAGGGGTCCTAAGCCTAAGGCCTGCGTAAGGCCTTCTAGTGTGTTTTTGTATGTTTTTGTTGGAAAGACATCACATCAAAGAATTGCGAGCAAATCCCGCAGTGGGCACCATGTGCATGACGAGTTCGCTGAGTGACCAATGCTTCCAATGTGTAGAAACCCACAAAGCAGTAATTCACCACTGCCAAATAGCCAGGCACACAGCCACCTGTCAATCTGGCAAGTTCAATCAGCATTTCCAGTCCAACCAAACCAGCAAACAGGACAGTGCTCACTGCTTCCGTTGCAAAAAGAACAGTTGCTGTGAGCTGCGAGGATAGAGATCGTCAACAATCTGGTTTAGCTGTGGTGAAAGTCCGACACAGAATACTCACATATATTCACCCTAAGTGCTACAGGAAACACTCCCGCGAGCCGACAAATCAGGCCAGCGTTGCTAACCATGTCCCCATCACAAGCAGCTCCATAATTCGCTTCAAGGATGATTACCACAAAGTTGCCACAAATCACCAGGCTTACAGCGATTTCCTCGGAACTTTGTGGTTGCGGCAATCCCCTCAACTAGAGGCCATACGAGATCATACGAGTATAGTGTTGCTTTTGCCCTGCCAAGAATCCCATGGAAGCGATGTCACCAATAAGTAGGCCCGCCTGAGAAAGAGGGCGAAGGATAACAGCAAGCACATGCAAGGAGATCAAAACAACTTGCTGGTTGGGGGAGAATAAGACCTACTCGCATGGCAACTGGAAAATCAATTCCCATTGCGTGTAGCTCCTTCAATTAATTAGAGTTGACGGTAAAGAGCAAAGTAAACCTTGCAGCAAATGTCAGCAGCCCTCATGATCTACTGATTGAGTTCTCTGTGCGGAGAAAGCGTCCAACGACATTTTCCAAAGTTGTTGAGCTCCTGCAGAAATGGAATCAACGACAAAAGCGCTGTGCTCGACCATTGTTGGTTCGTTCACTATCAGTCTAAAAAATCAGAGGGGAGAGGTATATAGATGTTGAAGCCCATGCACAACCACTGGCTCAATGGAATTCAATAAATTGTAATTTTGTTTGTGTAGCTTGCAAGCCAAACAAACGTTGTGGTGCAAAATCATGTCTTGCATTGACATAGCCCCCTGGCATATCAGCCTGTTCGGCAAATGGTGCCAGTCTTGCCACAAACAAACTATTCAATGAGAAATTATGTTGTATCATTCATTGATATCGACAAGTAAAAGCAACTCTGGAGGCATGCTGGGATGTCTGCTACTCTGCCGGCGTGTGTCGAAACCAAATTTGAGGTCCTTTGAATCGAATTTCTTCTTGAACTGTTTTGGAGGACCTCATTCAAAACAGACAGGCACAAAAAAAAGCTAAAAACACCCACACAAGAAGAAAACTCTGTAAGAGGCTTTTCAGGTACCTAACAGTGGGTAGCGGCCATAATAACTTATTGTATAATCTAAACATAGCACAGCAAGAGAATACCGTTCCTATCACACACTACCAGCTATCTATCTACACACAAATCTCTTCTCTGTTCAACTCTTCAACGAAGCTTTGGGATAGCCAAAGTCTGCTCGTTGCAAAATTCATGTCAATATGCACGAAGCTGCCAAGGAGCTGCCCGAACCTTAAGTGCTTTGGCCAATGAAACAGCCACTTTGTCTTTGTTTTTGCAGAAATCAACAACCTTTGGTCCCTAGGTCGATCGATGCTCTTTGCACGGAAACTGGCCATCTGTTTGAGGCTCTCGTTTTCCAAGCAGCTCTGGCTGAGGCTGAAATCCGATGGTCGCACCACCATGTCCGTTTTCGCCCTGTCGCTCCTCGTCTCGGAGTGTGAATCGTGTCACGTAGTGGGATCGCACCCTGCCTACGTTCACCTGAGCCAACACGCCTATGCCTGCGCAAGCCGAGTTCAGTATATTGGGGCAGCAGGGGCTGTGTTGTTGCCCAAGCCATGTCATTTTAGGCACAAAGGTTCCCCATCCAGACTTCGAGTGCGTTCAGTCGTCCAAACCGACAAGCGGAAGAAATCGAAACCGACAAGGCTATGGCCACGCCGCGGAGGGGATTCTGGCCTGCCACGAACGCCAGAACAGGTGGGTTTGGGCAAAATGCACGAAACATCACGAAACCCAAATGCAATAAACTGTAGAGGTTGTGCAGGCTTCCTGTAAGTAAGGTGAGTTCAGGCTGCAGGTCAGAGGATAATCCCAAATCCCCAGCATCCAAATTCAACTTCCAGAGGTAGTTTCAAGATCAAGAGGTGAGGAAGATTCAGCAAAGCATAACAAAGCTATATAATCCCAAGATATCTCAAGTCTAAGAGGAAAATTTCGGAGAGGTGGAAGGAGCCGGAGCATGAAGGGAACAAGGAGTCGGAGCAACGAAAAGAAGCAAGCCTTACGACCTGATTGTTCCTGATTGCTAAGTTGAAACTCAAAAACCGAACCCATATTTTGACCAAATGAAGTGTTTTCGAGTTTCCTTGATGCTAGTGTCCTTTTCTTGGACCATGGAGAGGTCTACCAGTCTAGCAATGTCTACCATAGTCTGCGGGACACATTAATTACGAATATATCATTATGGTTTCAGAAGCGGTGCCTCTTCAGATATGATCTTGAAGGTCACTTTGAATCGCTATATAATTGAGGCTGTCTATCTACATTCACGATCATTCACGGATACTCATGGAGGGAACTATGGCATCACTGGAACCAAAGCTTATTGGCTATCATAGGCGTATGGGCCATATCGGTGTGGTGAGCACTTCTGCGTTCAGTCGTCGCACTAAGGCGAAGGGCACCAAGCCTGCCACGGCCAACGCCACGGTTCTAAGAAAGGGAGCTTCCAGCAGATGGAGTGGGGTGGAGGAGTGGTCAAAGTTTTACTCGGGAACTAAAAGGTGATCTTCGGAAACTCTTCTTCGGAAACTTTACGGCTTTCTTCGGAAACTAATCTTCGGAAACTGGTCCTTCGTCACCAGGTACACCCCCCAGTGCTCCTTCATGCAAGTTGGATACAATGTGGAAATTCTGAAGAATACTTGCTGAAGCGTGCAAGAAAAAGTTTCTGCAGATCGCAAAATAGTTTCTGAAGATCGCGAAATCGTTTC